ATTTATAAGCCAACCTAATAGTAAAATGTTTATAGGAAAATGTCACTTGATCTACAAAATCAAAATTTCTGTGCGAACTTCATCAATATTCAGTGCAATTACAGAACGAATTCAATTCTAGATTGTCATTCTTTATTGCTGTTGTACTATTCTTGAAGTCTGAAGAGCCTAAGCTTTGCTATCGAACAGAAGCTTTGAACCAGTTCCGTCACACGTAATGGCATACTTATGCACAAAGCTTTACAAACGTAAATTATTGGTTTGCTTTTCTTGTCCCGTGTTCCCCGTAAGTTTTGCAGTAGAAAAGCACTTCTAGTCGTTTTTCTCATTGTCAGTGTAAGCAATGAAGCTAGTGAATGCAAGCTTCGAGAGGTTCGTAACTCTTATTATTCTATCCTCTTATTTACTTACAAACATTGTGGCACACCCTCCTATCGGTTACAGAGTATTTCAAGCTAGATTTACTTTACTGTGTGGCAGTGGCGGCCCCAGGATTTCCATACGGGGGTGGGGGGGGGGTCAAAATTTTCAATATGAAGTTGCGTAAGTGGTATTAGCCACGCACTCCGGAAAAGCTTTTGGGGTATCTTTCGAAATTTTTGCGGACTCCCCAAAAAAATTTTCCTGTAAGGCTAATTTGAATTTTATTAAGTTTATGATTTATTTTGATCATTTACAAGTATAGAAAACTTACTTGCACATTTTTATAACCGCGCATAAGTAAATTTCAAAATCTTCGCGATCATGCCCCCCCCCCCTCCCTCCGTCCGTCACTGTTGTGTGGGTATTTTTCAAGTTTCTCCTTTATTTGAAAAGTTCCGTGATGTTTCTGTGCCTTTTTTACATCCGAATATGCCTTGATAATTTTTCCCAAACTAAGCCTATCAGTTTTCTTTTGATTCAAATTTTTTTTAGAAAAGATTGAGGAAATTCTTCTGACTTGGGGTCTAAAACTTGCGTGAGTAGACTTTTCTGGAAAGCTTTTATTCCAAACTCTTTGAATTTTTAATTGGTGTACGGCTGTTTCTAAAAAATATTCGTTTCTCATTCATTCTTAAGGATTTGGCGAGAGAAAGAAGCTAGAACTATTCATTCATTTCTAAAGATTTTCCACGATTTGCGGAATGTAAGAGAAATTTTCGGCTATTTGAATCTTCATTCACTTTTTTATTTTTACATGGTAATGGACATGGCCTTCATTGCGTTTTCCTATGTGGTATGACGTTGTAATCCAATTATCTAATTTGATTGTTTTTGAACCTTGACAGTTTCCGATTTCTTTCTGATTTTCATGTTCCTCTTCCTTACCTTGATGAGTTTCGGCCTAGGATTTCGAGATAAAATTAATAGATTTTAAACGGGTATAACTTCGCCTTTTTTATTGGAGCTCGAAGATCGCTTTCATTTTTTTCTAAAAATTTCAGAAACTCGAAAAATTTCTCCTTAAAATTTCAGAAACTCGAAAAAGTGCAAAGCGGATAAACTGATATGAAAAGAATCGAGAATCCTTGAAAAACTACTGGAACTGGGAGCTGCCAGCAGAAGAAAACTTTTGTTTTTATTGTTTTTTTACATAACGCTAATTTTTGATAGCCTTGACTTTTTGAAAAGTTCTGTTTAAATAGCGAATAACTTTTTGATTTGAAATTACTAAAGACTAGGCTAAAAAACGAAAGGTGGAATTCCACTAATGGGAGGGAAGTTAGGAAATTGTTGGAATTAAAGTCGTTGCATGGCTTTTCCTTCTCTCCTTACCCTGCACTACCTCTATAACCATATTTACTTTTTCCCAGTGTCCATAACATTTCCCTAAATGGGGCTGAGTCTCAGCTACCCAATTTTTCCACTTTTTGAACGTGTAGGAAACGTTCCCGGTTAGGCGTGGTCAGTCACAGCGCATATGTCATGGCAGCTAGTCAAGGTCAATTCGATTTGGAGATTACGCGCTTCCACTCAGCAACCGTTAAGAAACACTTACCGACCATTTAACGGCGTTTTTCCTTAGCTTTAAATGGTCACCTGGGAAATTATCAAATTTGCATATTATTGTTAGTTTTGAGAAAGAGGAAATAACTCTTGCGCGAGCTCTCGCTATTCTTTACTTGTTGGATTAACTTGTTCTCAAATTCTTCCAAGAAGTTGCATGAATTTCTGGCATCAAGAATTTCAAAATCTATTAGAAAATATTTGACGGCGTTGCAATCTATAACATGTATATTTTGATCATATAGAAAGTATGTCGCATTTTTCATCGAAATCAAAATTTGAGAAGGCCAAAAACTCAATATCTGTATAATAATGAAACTATGAATTTATTTCTTATTTTGCCAGACCGCATGACATCTGTTAGCATTTTTGATAAATTGAAAGACATTTTGAGTTTACAGAAATTGACATAGCATGTTTCTTTGATCTTGTTGATGTTTGTTTTCATTATTGATTTCTTTGTTTATCTAGTTTATTCTTGATTAAACGTTCAATTCAGAGCCAAGAAGAAAGTGATTTCTTTTCTACAAATCTTTGCAATGTAGATGAATTTGAAGAGAGCTGCGAAGTTGCAAAAAATTTATTGCAAGACATTTAAGCCTATCTGACATTTTATTAGATGCAAAAAAAAGAAAATCTTTAAAGATTTCCCTTCAGCTGTCGCATTCTACAGTTTATGCAGTTGTCTCTATTTTGAATATTGTTTGCTTGGACGGGAAGCTAGCAAAAAGGAAGCCCTTTTTGAATTGAACAGTTTTGTCTAGGGAAAGTGCTTCACTTCCTGTGATTCTAGCACTATCATTCTGAAACAAAATTTGATTTCAGCGAGACATTTTTTCTTTGCCATGCTTCAACTATCGTCAAATCTCATCAGTTGCTGCAATATTGTTTTATCTGAAAGAATTTTAGCTCAAAAGCTTTTTACCAGATCTATCATCACGATTTGTCATCTGCTTGGTGCTGCTCTCAGCGTGGCATCTTTGCAAACTTTGAAAGTCTTTCATGGAAATTGGCAACTTATCGTCAACTTTTCTACTGACTGCTATCAGATAGAGGGACTTAAAGATAGCATCAGGGCAAAACCTAACATCTTCAATTAATACTTAGCCTGGAAGTAGGCCCCGTGAGAGGGGCACCTGCGTTGGCCTGGTCCTCCAATGTTGTTTCTGAATGGAGATAATTGGCCACAAAAATGCTATCAAGCCACGCCCATCCTATTGAGCTCCTCCCATCCATACTGAAAGTCGCCTGCGCCTTCAGGAAAGCGTTTCCGTAATCGGACTTTCTGCTGCATACTTCATAACTATAATCAGAACCACGAAAAGGCCCCAGAATAACTTAAAATGGAAGTCAAGATTTTAGGTGGACGCTGCCTTTAACTTTGTAAGCATTTGTAGGAAGTAACTCTCAAAATGTGCTTTTATTCCCAGACATGTGATTTCTAATTAGTCACTTTTTTTTTTACTAAAGAACGTCTAGTTCGCCCTTTCAGGGTTTTACCAGCTTTTTACTCCCTTGTAAAAAAACAAGGAATGTGAAAATTTTCTACTTGTCGCTTTGCAAAAACGTACGGTAAGGTATGATCGTCTCCACGATTCTTATAGAGGTGTATTGCAGACTTTGCCTGATAACACAGGTAAACTTGTTAAACCTCCACGTCATAGCATTGTTCTTCGTACTCCCTCGCTATTAAAAACCGCCACGCTTTGAGTTGGCAAAACCTCGCCTCTACACGAATCGTGGAGTCGATGATACCTCGAACGTACTGTGTTCATAAAATCTGGACATTGTGTTGAAGAATTCGAATAAAGCAATTTTATCAAACCTGTCTGGCAAAGAAAGCACCTACTCAAACAAATGACCGGAACTTCCGCAGAGCACTTGCGGAAGTTCCGTGAACGTGCCGCGGAAGTTCCGAAATAAGCTTCTGCGGAAGCTCCGAAGAATGCCAGCTACAACAGCAAAAGAGAACACCGAAACGAGATTTGAACCTTACTCTGTTTACTGTGAGACTCACCTACTATCCTCTGCACTACGACTGACACGTTCAATAATGCACTCTAGTTGTTGGCGAGGCAACATCATATTAGACAACACATTCAAAGTCTTGCGGAAGTTCCGGCAGGGCAAAGTGCTGCGGAACCTCTGGCATTTTCGGAATTTTCGCAGGATTTTGAAGAAGGTCCTGCGGAAGTTCCGGTTTTCAACCAGTTTTGCATGAAAATCCCGCGGAAGTTCCGATCAACGTTTCCATTTTTGCAATAGTGAAAAAAGTCCTGCGGAACTTCTGCCAATTTGCTTGTCCTGCGGAAGTTTCTGGTTTGTCTGAGTAGATGTACAGTAAAGTGTTTTTCAGCATTTGTATGCGCCCACTGTAATCAGAATTTGGTTTGTAGAAGATTTTCGCATCAACTCTACTTTTTGGATATCTTTTATATCAAAACTTTAGTTTTAATTGATAATGAAATTGTGGAAGTTTATCGTATTCCTCATTCTTTGCTCTTTCATTTTCACCGATATTTGCGTAGAGGAAGCAACGGAGACCTGGAGCTTGCTTCTTTGCTAATTCGCCTAAGGAATAAACTAGGAACATGGTCTCGAGCGAACTAATAGCTGCTTTCGCACGAATTAGGTTACATATCCATCCACAGCTGCCTCTCCTTCTCGTCACTATTTTCGCACCGCATATTTATCTCTCTATACAATCTTACCAGATCCTATCATTTTACTTAATCTTGAGTAACGGCTAATTGAAAGTTTTTTAGGGTTTCAGTTTGCTCGTAGAATTTTTAATATATGATCATTTTTGATGTGCTCCTGCTTGTGTCGATAAACTCCATGTGCCTCATAATCGCAATTTCGTATTTTGGAATAATAGGAAGCAATTTTTCTTACGTAAAGCTCTGCTGAAATTTTACGCCTTAAATCCTCTATTAATCGCGTTACCTGTTGTACTGTCGTTCCGCTATCGATTTATTAATCGATCGCCTTAAGCTTGAAATTTTTGATTTTTCAGCACAAAAATTCAAATTGGCTCGCTAGGGGGTTATGTCGTCGGCGAGCAGCGTCTGCTCATCTAATGACCTGGACTATGCAGCGCTGGAAAGTCGAGTAAGTACCTCAAAATAAATAACAATTTTTGAAAAGGAAAAAATCTGTTTATCTTGTGTAAATTCAGATTCCACCAACAATTCGACGCGATGTTGAACGATTTTCCATGTTCATCGCACGATTACGTGCATCTTTGGATGTGAACACCAATGTTCCAGGTATGTATTGTGTTGTGTGCAGTCACGTATACTTACGTAAAATTTTCGCAGTTTCCATAATCCGTTGATTTCGCACGTTTTCATAGAAGCTTTGTTAGGCTGCGTTCAGTGTCCCCTGTGCCAGGGCCGTGTCAGTGCCGTTCTCGCGCTGTGCGAGATCTCACGCGGACACTCGCCGGCACAGTTCCGGCACGGGGCTGGATCGGCGCTAGCAAGGGCAACGGTGAAGCAGACTTGTGTTAGAGGGTATTATAGTGTTGTTTTGCCGACTATCTGCGCGCAGATAAGTGGCCATAGGTCGAAAATGCACTGTGCGCTCACTGCCAATTTTTACGCGTAACAGTAGCTGGTACCGCAAATGCACTACATTATCGGTCAAATACACCAATAGACTTTAGTAATTGTTGTTGAATGTTTCTTTTGTGTCTGACCTAACCGGACCATGCACAAAAGAAAAAATAGGAATTTTTTGACTTTACACGGCCTTGCTCCTTTCAAAATGAATGGAATTCTGTCACGACCAGGCATTTTTTTTTGGGGGGGGGGGGAGGAGGGGGGGTCAATGCAATGAAATAATCTCATTATACAACTTCAAAAAATTGGAATCAGATCATAACTCGAAAACCCAGAAATTATTCACTTTTTCCTGTCCCAACGATGTCAAAACCCACAAGCTTTCTTTCAAAGTGCATTTCGGAGCCCTTTCACCCACAGTACCATTTCGCGTCAGGATCATAAATGTAATTTGATGGGATCTAACGAGAACAATTGTTAAATTATCCCGTAATGACGTCTCTGAGTTAGAAAAAAAACTTCATCGCCGTCATTGCATCAGGCAGTCAGGAAATTTATGGCCGATCAGATCGTATTTAATCCCGAAGCTGAACTATGGGGATGAATGGTCTGTAATGTAAAAGAATTTTGTCTATCTGGTGGTTTGTTTATAAATCGCTCCAAATTTGTGTTGCTTGTTCATGAAATCTTCCAAACTTTGATTTTTTGGGAGCGCAGAGGGTAAGATCCCAAAGAGAGTTTACAAAAATATTCTTGTTGTACAAGTTCTTTCTTTCAAAATTTCAATGCTCACTATTCAGGCCGTATTGTAGGGCTAATCGGAGAGACTTTCAAAAATAACTATTTGCTCAGTGTAGGCGATAAATTTTCTGTGGTTTTGTTTGTTTCTCTCTTTGTTTGTATTTTTTCCAAACAAAAGCATTTAGTGATCTCAAACATTGTGGTTACCAATCTAAAAACGCTGTGTTGATGAAAAAAATCAGCGCTACTTTGGTTTCAAGTCAAATCATTGGAGCTTTCCCAAGATTAGAGAAGATGAATCTGTTTGAGCTAATGAATTATGATCAGTAGTTGTGTTCTGGTTCTAAAATAAAGTTGGAAATGTTGAAAGGAAGTTCAAAGATTCATTCTGCATTTTCGAGAATTTAATGCAACGAGATTCGTAAGTTTCAAACTCTATCGCATTTATTTTATTTTTCAACAAACGCAGATTGCGCCAAAAAGCATAGTTATAAGGGACGAAATCATTCTATGAAAGACCTCTTGAGATAGGATTAGTAGACATTACAGTCAGTTACGTTGTGGTATTTTTAAGTGAAATTTCAAATGTATAATTTTTAGACGGTGAATCGATGTGCGTAAGCGTGCATGCTGCACTTGAGATGGTTTCCGAATCCATGCGTGATCTTTTTAAATACCCACAATTTAAGACGAACCAGGTCATTTTGCCGAGTCTTCAGCTGGTCCAAAGTGTAAAAGGTGAGTTGCACCTTTTTTTCCTTGAAAATACTGAAGTTGTCGAATTTTGCTGAAATTTGTGATGAAGTTTTTTGTTGATTTACCTGTCGAGCTGAATTATTCAATAGATCTAATCAGAGAGCTTCTCCCAGAGTCGTACTTTAGTCTTAGAAAGTCTCATTCATCATGTCTCATTCATCATAACACTAGGGTGTATTTTGATTTATAATTTTGATGTAGAGCTGTTTTTTTTCAATCTTTGCTCACGAACATCCTCAAATATTACTTCAAATGTCTATGGTCAAATTGACTGGGTTCGTTTTTTTCAATCTTTGACAGATTACTCCTTCGACCGGAAATTTTTCTCAAGTTATAATAGTTTGAAAATGCGACAAATTACAATTTTCAGATCTCAAATTCGACAGTGCCGTGGTGGATACGACGCGAGTTCATAATGTCATTGACCAACTTGAGTCAGCAGTGCTCAATACCATCATGTAAGTTCTTCTTACGTCTTCTTTTTCAAAGCAGTAGTAATTTATTTGCGAGACATGGCTACAAGCGAATTCTTGGAATAAAAAGACTGCGGTCTTAGAGAAATTACAAATGCTAATAATGAAATGGACGCCTAGGTATTTATTTTGGGTACTGCTGAACTGAGACAAGTAGTAGAAAGGGCAGTCTTAGGCCTCGGACATACCTCACGCGATTTCAGTCGCGATGCGGTTTGGCAATACTCCAAACGTTCATAACTCATCGTACGAGGTTTCCGAATGTACGGAAGATGGGGCATTTTATCAACCTACGAAAGTTATACATGCTATACATTTGGGGTATACCAGTATTGAATTTGAAAATATCTGGCAAATTGCCAGATCGCATGGCGACTGAAATCGCGTGAGGTATGTCCCTCGCCCTTAGACATAATATAAAGTTTCTGCGAACTGAGTAAGCTCTTAAGCTTCGAGAGGAAAGAAGGTATAACCTCCATAATGTTCATGCACATCGACTTAGACTGAAATTTTTGGATTTTTCTCATATTTTATACATAGATTTATCTTTGCCATTTTTTCAATTAACCTGTGGTCACATCAATCCTTAAAAATCACCAATTTCTACCGAAACACCTTTGCGTAATAATTCTTGATGATATTACAAAAGGATTACAATCAGATTTCCTAGTTTATATATCGTTCATGTAAATTTGGAAAAACCTTGATTTTGATTTTGCAGCCTTCTGAGTTGTACATTGGAAATATGGCAATTCAACGATAAATTTGAATTCCTGGATTTCACTTTACGCTCATAGCTTCAGAAACGAATGTTTGATTTTTGGCTTCAATTATTGAAATTCATTATTCTTCCCCGCAGCTGCGCAAACTCCCGAGCAAATGATCCACATGTCCGAATGGCTATCGATTCTTTCACTTTTACTCATAACTTTCCATTCTGAATTGCAAAAGTGTGGAATTATATTCAGCGCGAAAATTCTTCTATCTTAATTTCAAATACGATCAAATTATTATTTTTTATGCATCCTTTGGTACATGGTCACGCATTCTAGCTAAAAATCTTCTGGGCTTTATTGTAACGGAAGAGAGCAAGCTGTTCGTTGTATTGAGAATCCTTGTATACTATTGACATCCCAATGATCTCATCTTTAACATCTTTATTCCGCTTTATCAACATTAGCAGTTCTAACCAGATTGTTTTGAACGGAACGTCAAAACAAAGCCTATCTTTCGTCAATCTCACTACTGAACTCAAAGGCCGGCAGTCATTTATAAAAATTTTGCCGATGTTTGAAGCAGGGAGGGTTGATATAAGCAAAAACAAACAAAAACATAAAACATGGATATTATTTTCGCCTCACAGTCACCTGCACAGTTATTTATCGCATGAAGTTTACAAGCAGTATGTAGCCTCTCGATAACTATGTATATACAGAGCTCGCAGATTTCACAATTGTTCTTGAAGTGTGGTTGAGGGTAAAACCTCTGGGTAGATCAGTGAAATCAGTTACCGCCTTGGGAAATACCAGATCAAACTGAAAGCAGCTTTTTTAGCATATGACTATGCTAGTGAACCTAATAAGGATGTGAAGTTTGTAGCCAAACATTTGTGGCCACTGGAATAACCAAGTAAGCGGTCATAGCAAACTTGGTCTGCTTCGAACTGGCATCAGGGAACATCTATTTGAAGGAATAGCCCTCTAATTTATGTTGACAGGAATTTACTATCTTAACTTCCTTCGTAATATCGCAGCAGCTTGAGTGTTAGTCATATTATTTGCTGGCTGGACGAGGTGTGATAGGCTACTTCTTTCTGCGTACAATTTTCCTCTAAATTGTAGTCTCTGAATCTTAATGTTAGATCTTCATAGGAACAATTTTATAGTCAAAATTCCACACCTCTAGGCCTTTTGGATCCGATGAGTCCGAGACTGCACACAAAAAATCAAAAAAGTGATTTTTTAGCGTTTTGCGGCCTTGGAGATGGCTGAGGGGGGGGGGGGGAGAGGATGGGTGAGGGATTCCCGCCAAGAACAGCGACTTGCTGCAGGATACTGTAACTCCACCCATTTTGGCGACAATTGTTTGATCGGCGGGGAGCCAATCGCGTCAATGGTGATCGCTCGCCCATCCCCTCCAGCAACCTCCAAGACCGGAAAAGGCCATGAAAAGCACTTTTTTGACTTTTCAAGCACAGCTCTGGGCTCGGCGCATCCAGAAGGCCATATAGGGATGGAAAGCTCGTAATTGCAAATTTCCGGAGCCACTAGCTTTGAGCAAAAAAAAAACCAAAATATTCAACAAGGGGTGTTAGAAATTCCGCGCAGCGTAGTTATTACCGTATATTGTACCTCGTCACATTTTCACAAAATTGAAGCATCTTACCCTTCATTTTCCCGATTTTTACAAAATTATGAACCTACCTTTGAAATCAAAATATAGATGATTTTGTACTTGTACCCTAAAATCCCATAGATAAGAGCGGTATAATTTACCGGTGAAAAATGAATTGGAAAAATTGAAATTGACTGCAGTCACCCCTCTAACTTGATGGATGGATAAATAAGAATCGGAGAAGAAGTTTAGAAGAAGCTCCGCCCCTCAACTCTAAACCCCGCCCACTTAATGAACAAGTCATATAGAAATTCCGAAATTCCGTTAAAATCGCTATTTTTCTATATGAATTGTTTATATAGGGGCGGGGTTTAGAATGAGGGGCGGAGCTTCTTCTAAACTTCTTCTCCGATTTTTATTTATCCATCCATCAAGTTAGAGGGGTGACTACATTCAATTTCAATTTTTCCAATTCATTTTTCACCGGTAGATTAAACCGCTCTTATCTATGGGATTTTAGGGTATATCTATCGTCGAATTTTTATAACTCAATATCCGTTTTGCACACCACGCGCGATAATTTACATTTCGTAAGATGAAACCTTTTGGTTTTTAGGACTTGTTCTTTTTTCTCATTTCTTTTGAGTTGGTTGCATAGGTTTCAGATGGTAGTACACATTTTCAAATTTTGTTCTGCTAGAAAAGGTTTTACTGACAAGAGTCACATACTAGTACACAATTGCTTGTGTCGTCGTTTGCCACGCGCAGTGTGCGGGTGCACATATTGTGCTACAAAACGATCTCACAGACAATCAAGACAGATTCGAAGCAGCAGATCTGCCCTGTGTCAGTTGAACCAATTCTAGAGAGTAAATAATTATCGGAACTAGTCAAAAGAGATAGGATAAAGATGCGGTCTTTTCTCCGCATTATGAAAGTATCAACGAAAACAGCATCCCTTACTTTTCTAGTCCACCCTATTGAGTCCCCCAGGCTATTATAGAAATATTGCCTGATTATTTTTTTGCAATCCTCCTATTTTACTCCAAATAATATCCCCCCCCCCCCACCCCTATAAACTCTCGCCCATACAATCAGTATTTCTGTATTTTCGCAACCGATTTCATTGCAAGGACAAGTGCAGAAACGCATTTGTACTTGACCCAAAGTTTGCATACGAATGCGTCATTACAAATTCAAATCGCCTTACCAGATACTTTCAAAGTCTCAGTGTGCGGAGATCTTTTTCGAAACGGAATGATCATTGAACAATCTCCTTTTACACATGTGTGGCAGCACTTTTTTCGCCATTTGACAACAAAAATTATCATTTAGACCCCTTTGATGTTTTTTGAGGGAATGGTTTTGGGTAAAAAAGAAATTTTTCTGTTATTCAGGTGTTCAGGAAGATGGGCTCTAAATTTGAATGAGTGATCATCTTTCACTGAATTTTTCTACAAAATCATAGTGCTTCAAGAAATCAATATTGCAAACATATTTTCCCAACACTACAAACCAAAAAGATTTTAGAACAATATTCAAAACAATAAGGTTTACAGACTTACATGCTTACTGAGGGTTCCGGGGTTCTGTACTTTTTGCTCCGCTTAGGATCAGGAACGAAGAGGATGGTGATTTTTCTACCAAAGATTGAAAATTTGTGTGATATTCTATTGATATTTGATGACTCAATCATAAATGAAAATAGCTATATGCGAAAGATTATAGCTCTTTTAAAAAATTCAATAAATTTGAGTAACTCAAACAAGCACAATTTTTTCCGAAGACCCATTGAGGACTAAGTACGCTATTTTTTTGCTTTTCTTCCGAAAATGAGAAAATATGCTGGAAGCTTTTGCTTTCGAGCAATGGTTTCACTTTACTGCAAAAAAAACTCCTTCTTTCATCTCGCTTTTTGTGAGAATGTCACCCTCGCCGGTTTTTTTTTGGATTTCTTCGCGTAACACTAATTTTTTTCTTGAGCTAAATAATAAACCGCGAATGAAGTGCATCGAAATTGACAAAGCATATTGGGAGGGGGGGGGGGGGAGAAAGGGGGAGACAGAAAATTTCCATTAATTTCTTCTTGTGCAGTTGGTTATGTGCTGCTTGAATTAACAGTGGAGCTGAATGACTCATTTCGTAAACTCTCATTCGTTTTCAAGTGTTCAATGCTGGGTGTGGCCTCCCCACTTGAACGTCGCGAATGACGTAATAAGTACATGAAATCTCACTTGAGATAGTTCTTCTGTTCTATTTGTTCGCCCAAAATTTTCTAGAATGAAATCATGTAGGTCCTCTCACGTTGTGGTTCTTGCCGCATCACTTCCCCTGATTGAGAAAATAATTAAAGCTTTCTCAAACCTTTTTTTTACCCAATTTTTGGATATTTCCATTGGGAAGAGGTGGGGGGCGGGAGGGATGAGGGTTGTGATCGCAATTGGCGCATTATCTTGGATTTTATTTCTCTCAAAGAAAATTTGCAAATTCATTCTTGACTCATTTGTTTTTCAGAAACAGCCACGTAATACAAGCGAGCCCATCCAGGCACTTCACTCTAGGTCGGAGACCAAAACCTGTGAGTTGTTTTCTAATTTTCTTTTGTAATTTCTTTTTTTTTTCGCAATGCATTGGTTAGTCTAATCGATATTTTTGTAATTGATTAGACTGATCAATAAATGAGATGAATAATGTAAACAGTTCAATCATAATTCAATTCCTTCAAGAATCCATGCAATTATTATTTTTTCTAGCACTGGAATTTTTTTCATTGAAATTGCACTTTTGTACAAGATATGACTCACTTCTTTCCTTTCTCACATTCCCTTTCATTTGCATCCGGACTGAATTGCAAACAAAGTCTAGGAATTGTCAACGGCCCTTTTGCACCCGGCGCTGCTCTCTGACGCAACGCACTACGCGACAACTGCGGTCCGGCATGGAATTGCTTCATAGCGTTACGCTTGCGCAAAATGGCCCCTTCAAAGAAGACCCGTTGTATTCCTTCTACCCTTTCTTTTAGCACTGATTTTCTTTGTAAATAAACCAAAAAGTAAACAAAGGACCTCGCACCACTAGACGAAATCATTGGACTTGCACCATAACACTGAATTTTTGCACCACTTGCATGAAAATGCTTCTATAGCGTTATTCTCGCGCAAAATGGCCTCAATGAGGAAAAATCATAGAAGTGGAGCTTTCTGAGAAAGGAAAACCCGTAAAAAAACTTTTTGAGCAGTTTTTTCCTCAGAAAGTAGGCTCTCTATCATTGAGTAACGGTAATTTTCCAATTATGTCAATCCAGTATAGCCGTAAATATTTATGATGGTAATTCTGAACCAGCCCCTATGAAGTTATATCTTGTCGAACTCTGCCTGAAATTTTTTTTGCTCCCCCCCCCCTCTCCACCCCAAACTTTTCCCGGACAATTTCTGTACTTGCGAAACTTTGTCCTATCCGACTATCGGGCCCAAAAACTGTTGCTAATCGAAGCCCTGTTCCATCGTGACTCATCAAATCACCTCCTCTATGACGTGTACGATGTGATTCTACGGGATCCATCGAAAATCGGCACACCAGCACTTGCAGTAGTTGCACAATCATCCCCACTATTTTTATTGGATATCGCATTATTTTTATGGCCTGTATGAATTTCCACAGGCGAAGTCTACCATTTAGGCTACGATGGCCATTGCACGAAACTTCGGTAAGGTTTAGGAATTTTTTCGTAGCTTAAAAACTTCAAACTGTAAATGTGTGATCCTCAAATATTTTTATTTTTAAATATTTATCATTTATTAAATTATTATTAATTATTTTTATTTTATCTATTTTTAAATATTTATTATTTATATTTTTAATATTTTTTTGATTTTATTTATTTATTTATTTATTTATTTATTTATTTATTTATTTTTTTACTTTTTTTACAAATTTCAGAATTTTTTTCTATTGTCCTATTTCCAGCGAATGACTTATCATTTCTAATTGGTCAAAACAGCTATCAAGAATTTTTAAGATTTATACCAACTCAAAATCTTCTTCGAGACAGCCGCCACAGTCCTTTTTCTTGAATTGGGATTAGGGGCAAACATCTCGAAAGCATTCAAAAAATCTCAGGGAGCGTAGCCAAAACCACGCCCCCTTTACTCGAAAAAATATCGCGCTTATCTCCCACGAAAAGATTACATAGTTGATAGTTTTACATTTATCTGTGTAAAAATAAACAGTCTCTGTAAAAAATATTGGAAAATCAAAAAAATTCGAACAAATTCTCTGTATGTACTTTTGTCTGAACAAGTGGCCGTTTACTTGCTTTCCATTCTGGAAACCATAAATTTTTAAAATTCTCAAGAATTGGTAATTAAAAGCCGTTTCACCTCCTTCATTTAGCAGCCCACGAAAATTTTGCAGAATGTTTGCTGAATAGTGCAAGATAATCGAAAGTACCCACTTATTCGGCCTTTTCGAATGTGGAAAGGACCTGCCGCTTTCTGAATTTTCTCATTTCTCTGCCTCTGTTGCATTCGCTTTTGAATGCCGGTCTCTTATCTAGTGATTAAAAATTCTGCAATTGTTTTGTCTACATTTTAGAATATAAAAAAACCTCAATGGCTATTCTACATGTTTAGAAAATTTCAGTTCAAATATGAGGCATTTGATTGTGATCGCATGAAAACAATTTCAAAAACGTTTCAAAATTCAAAATTAAGAATTGCTCTCTGGCTGTGGAGTCTTGCGGAGATAGCAAAGGCGGAAACTTCAGATTTTATTAGAAAAAAGACTTTTGTCAATAGAAAGTTCTTAAGAACATTCCTAGAAAAAGAGCCAGGAAAAGGAAGATAGAAATCATCGGCTCATGCTAGAAAAATCTAAACTAACTTTTTCAGAGAAAAAACCACAAATAAGCTTTGTGAAGTATGCATTAACAGCAATTGTCATAATTTTTTATTTGACATTCTCAGCAAAACCCACGTATTTGAGTTTTTTCTAAGTCATTATCGCCCACTCTTTGAGAAAATGATACAGAGTTCTTACAGAAGTGCTCAAATCGTTGCTATGCAACGTTATAATGAATACTTCTCTCATTGTTTACTGCTTTAGTAAGTTACAAGACATTGTCAGCGGCTAGTCTTGCTACTTAATAATTTAAAACCTTCATTATTTTTCTTTGCGGTTGTTTTCTGTTTTTTGAACGTCCCCCCCCTCGCCTTCCGAGGGAACATGAAATATTTTAAAAAATAGTTTACATCTATGAAATTGCGCAAGTGTTTTTTGAACTTTACTGAAATTCAAATTAGCCTTGTAAAAAATTTTTCCTGGAGCTTGTGGCTTTTTTCCGCATTTCAGAAAATATTTTTTTTTATTTTATTTTATTTTATTTTATTTCAAAATATCTCAAATTTTCCAAAAGGCCCTGCTAACGTCACGCTCCTTTGTTTGAGAAGCATTTCGGTCGCGCCCTCTTGAAAGAAAAAATTTCTCGGGTCGCGCCGCTTTCTGGAATTCTAGACTTATTTCTATTTTGATTTATGGAAGCCTTTCAATTTTGGATAAATAAGCCTTTGAGCGGAGGGAGCGGATATTTTTGACCATTTTTGGTAAATAATTCTTGATTAAATCATCTTCTTCACATTTCATATTATCTTATAGTTAAATTCATTCACTATGTTAGCTAAGGTGCTGAAATTTATAGCGACAGATACATTAGAAAATGCTTTCTTCCAATCTCCTTTTTCCTTTTCCTCTCCCCCCCCCCCCCATCACTTTCCTCCATTTTTTTCTTCATTCGTAATGGTGTTGTTTTCTTAAGTTAGGCCAGTAGAAGCATAGGACATCCATCCCGGTTCCTGTGACATTTTCACAGCTCCCACTGGAATTGCCCTATAATGGAAGTTGCCGGCTAGGCTGACTTGGATGAGTCAATTGGGGCAGTCTTGCTTCCGGATTGAGCGTTTTGTTAGGACTTTTATCACATTTCTGGAAAAGATTTTGGTTTTTATAAGCCTTTTTATGATTTTTTTGATTTTTTAAGTGCTGTGAAGAGTTTCACCTGCAGTTCAGAGCCTCAAAATCGAGTGAAATTCATAAAATCAAGAATTTCAGCCACTCTTTTTGTCAGTTTTAACGAAAATTTCCGAATGTTTTGCTAATTTACAAAAATTTCCAAAAATGTTCTTTGAATTTTACACGGCGCCCCCGTGACTTTTCACGGGTTTTTGCAATTCTAATCAGCTTATTGCTCGTACCCTGCCGGGTTTTGCTATCAAACAGTCTCTGTTTGCCCTTTGCTGGTGAATGATTTGGCTAAGGCCACCAAAGACAAGCCGATCACTATGTTTGTATGCTGATAAGGACAGTGCATACTTGCCATCTTGGGCGTCGATCTTTCATCTGTTAGAAAAAATTGTATCTTAAACTGGTTGCTTGCCTGTTGTATTTACTCAATTTTTGACTGTTCCTTTATCTACAAAATTTCCAAATTATATCTTCCTGACTGTGAAGAAACAAGCGTGATCCTTCCACTCATTCGTCTATTTTCGATCATTCGTTCATAGGCGGTAAATCATTCGCTCATTGGCTGAAATTTATTTATTTATTCATTTACATGCTTGCTTGTTTGGACTTACCCTGCCATTTTCTTTCATTGTAGTAAACAACCAATTTATCAATTACTGCTCATTATTACTCATTCACTTTATTTTGCAACCGTGCGGAATTATTTATTTGAGCAATTTTAATTATTTATTTGCTTATCTGCACATATCGTACTACTCAAAATCCTCTACATTTACTTTTTATCAATTTATTCAATCATAGGTTTGTGCTGATTTCTGTTTTACAACATTTTACCGTTTTAGGAAAAAGTCTCTGAAGAAATTTAAAAATTTTTCTGTGCCTCTATTTCTTTCTACAGGACGAGAAAAGTAACATTTTCGAGGGTCAAGACTTTTCCAATATTATTTCACCTTTTCTGAAAAAATTTGAGGCATTAGGATGCGTACAGGGAGAGCTCCGATCAGAGACCGGCACAGGTGGCTTATAAAAAAGCTAATATCGTTTTTAAGACAAAAGGCAGAGGGTGTTTCTGTAGCCGAAAAAACACAAAAATTGCGAATTTTTTAGTCAACGTTTCGCTTTTTTGGCAGTTTTTTACGTTTAAGGTTGGTCAAAGGGGACTCCGTAAAATTGTGCGAAAGTCAAGGGGACTTCGTTTTTTTTTGCATTTTCGGAAAGCCACCGCGTGCCGAAATTGCAGAAGAGAAAAAATACAAGAAGATGCAAGAAAAATTTGAAAGAAAAATAGTTTAAGTATGTTTACAAAACAGTCGTGAACTTGCTGTGTGTGCATTTGCGGGATGGGTAATGCTAATGGGAGATCCTTAATCCTCAAGCAATAATGAGACTTTCAGTGGCTTCTCATTTTTTTTAGATCTGAAAAAAGTATGACAAAGAATTCTTAGTATAACGTTCATTTTAGGGAGAGACCATTGAATTAAATCATTCCAGCTTTTCAGTAGTTCTTGAACAACCCCATTCTCTTCTCTTCCTTTACAACCCTCTACAGTCTGCTGCGATATTCTCGTGTTTTCCTGATTTTCATCCTATTTCCAGCTATTTTGTGCATATTCAAAAGGAATAAGACAAATTGCAGTCTTCCATCAATTTCGCTATCGACGCCATCGCTAGGCGTGGTGTTTTGAAGGGAAAAAACGGAAGCTGTAAATTTCCATACCCACTGTGCTTCCATATTCCATCCTAGCCATTTCCTCTCAGTTAAATATAATACTAAAAGTATGCTATCTCAAGTCAATTGTGAGATCAAGCACACCCCTTTGTAAACAATCTCTTCCTTTTTGCACACTTAACTGAACAATCCCTCTCCACTCCACCTCTAGAACTTCTCATGTGACATTTTGGAAAGAAATCAGAATGTTTTGAGACATTTACTATCTCTGTACCCCCCAATTTCTGCGATTGCACTTAACTATACAGTACGACAAAATTTTGTGACAGGTTTAGTAGTACAGTGCCTTTCACTAGCCATGATTGTCCCAGAAAGGGGGGTTTGGAACCAAATTCTACTGCGACAGCTGAAACAGGCTCTGTGCCTAAGGGACCGTCACACTTCGCCGAAAAAAGCCCAAAAACGCCCATAAAGCTCAAAGGCGAAAATCCAAAAGCGCCGAAAAGGCTTAAAAAAGCCCAAAAGGCCAGAAAGCGGAACGCCCCGAGAGACTTTTATAGAATTCTGACTTTATTTTGATGGGCAGGTGAGTGATGAACCAAAATGTCTTATTTGCGAAATCAACAACATGCCTGAGCGCCAAAACTTGCGCGAAAGGGGGCGTTCCGGCTCTTTCTGACGCTTATAAGCTTTTTCGGGCTTTTTGGGCGCTTTTGGGCTTTTTAGCGAATTATGACGGGTCATCACTATGAAGCGATCAGATTCGAGCGGTTGAGACTCGGAATTCAACTCAAGTGGTTCAGTTACAACTGCGCAAAAAAAGGACAGTTTGATATTGATATTGATATTTGATAAGGATTGCTCCTGACTTTTTAACCCCATCTGTAAAAAAGCTATTTTAGTCAAAATTTGTAGATTCTACACTGGGTGTTTGGGCTGTTCGAACTCACTTCGTTCGGCTTTTTGGCGGTCCATGCATCGAAAGCACTTGAGGTGCAAAAGCGATGACCGGATTTTAGCAGCCTTCTAAGCAAGCATACTAATTGGGAACAATACCAAGCCTTTTACCCCAGATAAACAAAAGAATGAGATTCCTAAAACCTTATTCTCAGGAAAATCGAAAGTTGTAGCTGGTGACGATTTATAGAATATGTAGGGGTAGTCTGACTTAAAGGCAGCGTCCAGGCAGATCTGGACCTATGGGGCTTTTACGTGGAAAGTACTTTTGGGGCCCTAACTAAGGCACTGCCCAAGTGGCAGCTCAGGTAGTGCTCTAATGGCTGAGATATTCCCCTCGAAACTGGCCCCCGCGACCGTGTTTCGCATGGATTCATGGCGCAAAGCGTGTGTCCTGGCGCGAAACTGCCATGAATCCATGCGAATACGTTCGCGGGGGCCAGTTTCGAGGGGAATATCTCAGCCATTAGAGCACTACCTGAGCTGCCACTTGGGCAGTGCTTTAGTTAGGGTCCCAAAAGTACTTTCCACGTAAAAGCCCCATAGGTCCAGATTTGCCTGGACGCTGCTTAACGAAAATTACATCTATTTTATATAGAGTTCCTCTTTACCCGAGCTTACGGTAGGGTACAGTAAAAGGTCAATAATCCAACCTTGCTTAGACTTTGTATAGCAGGGTACCGATAAACTTTACACGGTAACGAACGATATTATAATACTTTCCAAATCTGACGTTCATAGGTCTTGCGCTTTTTTTTCTTCGTCTCACTCGTTCGTAGCATTTCCCCTCATGCTTTTGGGGGTTTTTCCATTGAAGACCTTACAATTTCTTTCCTTTGCTAGTACGATTCTTCACGTTGGGTGCTTCTGACCCCGCTTCGGCCCTAGTCACACCTTCATTTACTCTTTCCCTGACACTCCGCATAGCTAGCGGTTCATTACAATCAGCTTCGAGATCCGAAGTGCTCTTGAGCATGTCGCTCATATCCGCCAATGTTTGTCATTTGATTCATCTGACTGTACAGCTTTGCGAATAACAAACTATGCCGTGTGTTTGCATGAGAACATCGCTTTGTGTGTGTGTATTCTGCTCTCACATTCGATATCTATCTTCTCCAACGCCACTGTGCTATAGTATCTTGCAATCTTTCAGAATTACACTCAAAAATTCAATATTCAAAGAATATCCGAAATGCTTTTCGGCTAGAGAAATTGGTAAATTCTCCCGCTTCGGCTGCTCCGATTGCTTAGAATTCCCAGAATATAGCAAGTTTATTCAAGCATTGAAGTAGCTGATACTGTACGATGAAGTTACAACCTAATAATTGCGAAATCTCGGTTTTGCACGTCCCAATTTTGGCAGTAAAAAGAATTCTGGCGGCAAGCACCGCTTATTCTGTAATCACTGCTAGATAAGAATTCTTTATTATTAAAAACTGAGAAAATGAAAACTTGCGTGCTATAGCAAATGCAATTCTGAGCCATTCTGACACAGGTAGTTACAAAGCTTTAGAATTAAAAATAGATTTTCAAATTCTTTTTAGTTTTCGAGAAATATGATTTCAGCATGAAAAACCTAAAAAAGCGATTTAGCATTTTTGGTCATGAACCATTTCAAAGTCTTTAAACTTAATACCTGCCCCTAATAGGCTGGACTCGGATTATGTCTTTATACGTAACCTTCACTATTCCAGTACTTCGGAAGATAAAGGACCGCGCGTGCTTCACGCGATTTTAGTCGCGATGCGATTTGGCAGCATTCCAATTGTCCATAACTCACTGTAAGCGTGTATTTTGAATGTACAGAAGATAAGGCATTTTATCAGTCCACGTAAGTTATACACATTATGCTTGTACAGTTTGCTAGTGTTGGATCTGAAGACTTCTGGAAAATTCCCAAATCGCGTCGCGACTGCAATCGCATGAAGTATGCCTGACCTTTAAGTGATGAATTTTTCCTCCAGACCAAACTCTTCACTCTCCATATCAAAGCTGCTTTTCTTTTTCCACACTGCATCAGTTTTTTCTGGTCACGAAATAGACCACAATTAGGATATTGCGAAAGAAGGAACCCTGAAAAGTCGTATGTACCTTGCAAAAATCCTGTGCAAAGTATTGTTAAACAAGCGAATATTTCATTTCGTTTTCAAAATTCCATAAATTTCTCAGCTTTCATGAATGTCGCATTTTTCTCATGCGATTTCGTAACAGCATCCGATTTTATGTATTTTCAGACGTTTCTATCACTATGCGCCATCATCATCTTCTTCACTTAAAGAATTCATGTTATCACCACCCCGATTCTTTTTATCTTGCTTTAGAGTTGTTCTTACGCATTCGTTTCCGACTAAAAATTCTAAGTACCCTCCACAGTAATGTAGACACTCTAAAACATCCTGTTTATTCGTGCAGTTCTCGCTAGATTCGACTATAATATATAACAGCAACTAGCTATATGAACCAAAATGCAAAACGTAGTCTCCTTTTGAAATATGAACTGCGCGCATTGAATTACAAACTAGGGCCTATAAAAGCTGTGAAGTAAGATTACAGACACCTAGACGTCTTATAAAATAATTATTAGATTTGCCTTGAAAGGTAGTTATAGCTGTTTCGTTAGGCCATAACGCAAAAAACATTTTTGGGGATGCAAAATAGTTGAAAGAACGAAAAATTCGTTATCATGAAGTTTGAAAATTAATCTATCAGTCATTTTCAATAATTTTTAACGATCTTTTTGCCTGAATGCCTGCCTGAAATAACAATTTTCAAGCAACTACAGAATTTATTTGAGTCAAACTTGTATCAACAATCTGGTATTTACTTTTGCCACTGAAGCTTACCTTAAAGAGGCTTTGAGTTTGGTCCAGACTTGATCGTGCCAGCGCCGTCCCAGCAGCGTGCCGTGCTGTAATTGCGGCGGCGATCAACTAATGCACAATGCGTCCAAGTGCGTTCCGGCGCGGCGCTGGCACGGCTCTGGAACGCCAGTGGTATGACGCCGGCATAGTTCTAGACGCAGCATGATACTAAACATGATGCTATTTCTTGCTAAAACTGATTGTAATAAATCAAACACTTAATCGCAAAAATTCGGCTACTATAAACACAGTACTTTAGAGCTCAACTGAGGTTTACTCAAGTTGTCATCAACGATCTGCCACGCTACAACGACGTCATTCTACATTCCAGGATATTGAAGGAAACGGTAAGGATTGACAACAAATCATAAGTTTTCGGCTGATTTGCTTATCTCAACCCAATCAGTCTTTGTTTTCGTTGTATTTGAGTTTTTAGATGAACATAATCAGTTGATGGATCTTGATCGGATTTTGAATGATCGCATTGATGGGCTTGAAATTGCCTTCGAAAGGACGAAAGCATGGAGCACGTAAGTTTATTTTCTCTAATTTTTCTGTAATTTTTACACATGATCATATTGTTGCTACTATAATGTCTGAGCAATTCGTTTCTGCTTGTGGCTCCAAAATGTTTTCACAATTTTTTCGAAATGAATGAATTTGTTTGAAAAGGGAAAAGAGGCTGGCTAGGTTACGGAAGCAATTTTTAAGAGGGCACGGTAACGGCGCCGGAAATTTTATTTATCAATCACATCTCAGAAACTTTCTTAATGGCTCCAGTGATTTAACGAAAAAAATTGTCTGACCCCCATTCCTTCTCCAAAAATCGAGCCACTGAGGCCACAGTGATAATACAATTTGCTACTTTGAGATTAGAGGCAGTGTTTGACTGGAAAAATGTCTGGAGGGACGAGTGTTTCATGAAGGAGGGGGGGGGCACTTATAAAGGTTTATGGTTGCCGAAAATCTTGCACCTAGTAAAGGAGGTCAAGATTATGCTTGCTCGCCGTCCCCGGGAATGATACAGGTCTTTAGGTACAGAACTTTATTTTTTCAGTTACTCGAAAGACCTGCTTTCCTACATTCGATCTCGACTTCAACTCGAGCAAGACCATGCTCGTCGTGTCACCGCATTGGTGGAAGCATGCCGAAGAGATATCGCTAAGGTAAATATTAGGTCACCAAAACTTTTCAAATATTGATGTTCCATGATAGCAAATACTTGATTTGTATCATTTTTGATTATATTTTTTGGCTTAGCATATATCTATGAGTGTGGGCGGAGCCAAGAGTCTGTATAGGTGGAGTTTATCGTTCAATCTATCTCTTTTGGATTTTTAACAACGAAAACAATAAGTGTCATGTTTGAGTACTTAGGGTACATATAAGGTTTTTATTCTAGGAAAGGGGGTCGGCTAATAAGACAGTTTAAGAAACTTTTTACGACTTTATGTGGGCGATGTCCGTAATAAATTCAAACCTTTCAGCCTTTCATGCCCCTTCGAGATGTGTTCGAAAGCAGCTTCGATAGCGACATCGACCTCGTTGGCAGGACCAAAGAGACCACAGATCATCTGAAAGCTCGAGTTGTTGAGGTAATAGTTTCTTTGAAATGGGCCAAAGCCTAACAAATTTTGAGAGCTTAGGCGCTTGATGCCAGACGAAAAGAGCACGACATCCAGCGAGGTGCTTTGAAACTGGAATGGCAAAAGCTGACAAAATCTTTGGTGAGTGACTGCGCAAAGCCGCGAAATGCTTTATGTTTCATACACCGGTTGTTGCCTGAGCAGCGGTCATGTTTTCTGTGTAACTTCCAACTTATTTACCATAATCGATAAAAATTTCCACCCATCTGGTTACTTAAACTCACTTTTCTGACCTCATAACAAAAATTTAAATCTTTTTTATTTGAAACAGCTGACAATAAACTCAGCAGAAAAATACACATGATTGAGCGGCCTTCGGAAATGTCTGTGTCAGCGCACTCCAGCTTCGTACTCACCGCGTCAAGATTCCAACACAATAAAGGAGTGGCATATGTAGCTTTCGGCACGGCTCAGCACAGCACTAGCACGTCGCTGGAACGGCGCTGGTGCAGCGGCCATGCGATATCTTTTGCGAAACTAAGTTCACTGGTGGTCAAAAAATAAGCAGTAAAGTGCATTGTACCACTTTGGACAATCATAATCGGCTAAGGTATATTGTCGGACAAAGACGCAAAACCAAGGAGCGCATATGCACCTCTATTACTAAAGATGCATAAAGCGCGGTTTACAGGTAGGTTTTCCGCGCGCCGCGTTCGCACAGCCTAAAGGCACCGTCTACCTAAAACGGGGGTTGACGAGATTATGAAGGCATACTAGTGTGGGCCTCCACACTAGGCCTCTCCAAGTTGCGTCGCAAAAAATTGCTTCTAGAGCGAGAAGTCCACTCCAGAAGGAACAAATCTGGAGATGGTCAGTCTACCCAGCTGGTCGGCCCGCCCACTTTGCAGGCTCTCCTGGCTTGTGGCAGCGGGTTCTCCAATACGGGGATTTTTGGGGTCGCGGACTCTCGACTCCATATTCAAAATTAGGGCCTTCAGAAGGCATGAAAGTCGAGAATTTGGGTAGAGGGTGCCTTTAACTGAAGTTGTTTTTGCGCCTTTGTCCAGAAGTAAACTTAGATTTTTGCTATATTTTGAATGATGACATGGTTCTAAAACATATTTGTTGATACCTTACAGAATTTGTCATGAATACTTTCTGCTCAAAGCTTGAGCGTTTGTCTGTCCAGACAGACGAGAGATATAAGGAAATCCAATAGAACGAGTATAATAGTTTTCGTTACTAGCCTAACAACACGAAAGAAATGTGGGTGATCAAACGTGTAAATGCTTGCAATGTACTACCGCAGGTTGAAAGATCACAGTACCGTACATCGCTAATTTTCGGTAAAAAAAGATATGAGTGGAAATCTTTGCCTTCCACCAAACAAGAGTTGCATGAAAAGGAAGCTTCAGGCCTCATACTACTTCTAATTATGATCTTACGCAAGCTTTGTGCTGCTCTCGAGTTTTTTTCTATCATCAACACTAAGCGCTATTCTTTTGCAACTTTGTATGCTGCATGAATGAATAAATATCCATAATAATAAGTAATACCAGGCCGGTGAGTGCAGTGACAGTTGTCAACACCAACATGAGTCCATTTCTGTTCGAATGTTTCATTTGGCCAAACAAAGAAGTCTCTGAGCTAAAACGTTTTTAAGTGATAGATCTGAATAAAGCTTAACCTGTGAAATCTTACACCTAGAATCACGTACCGATTGTTTTGTCAAGATTCTTCAAGATTGGCTGGAGATGGTTATTGCTTGACTCGTGCAGCTTACATAAATTTAAAAAATGCTAGAATCTATTTTTCGTCCTTGTTAACCGTATCACATTACCTAAAAGTAGCATAATTTTTGATCTTTTTATTTTTCAAGAAGTTGGAATTCAGCTTTTTTAACCGTACATCGAAATCAAGACTATCATGTATCTGCTTCAGATAATTTTCAAATTCTGTAGCAACCATTTTTCAGCACGACTGTGAAGATATGGTGGATAAATGTCGTGTCACTCTGAAATTACGTGAAGAATCACTTCGGAAAGCGCGAGAAAGCACGCTTCGAACAGAATCACTCAACATCTCCCCGTCTATGAGCACTGATCCAGTGAAGCGACGTAGAGAAATGGAGAAAAAGAAGCGAGTAGAGGAAGAAGCAATTATTAAGGTAAGGTTGAATATCAGAAAGGAATTGCTTTACAGAAGGCGCTCGATGTCAAAATCTGTGATTTGTGATTTTTTTGCAGAAAGTTGAAGCTGAGAAACAATTAGCAGTTTGCTCAGCCGAGCTCCGACGGAAACGGAAGGAACTCGAATGTGCTAAGGTAGGTCTCTTAGTTGACCTTTTTCTCATTAGTTTTTATCATTGAAATTATAATGCTATTCTAAGTCTTAAAATCAATTACGTCGCTTTTATCAGTATAAATTGTCGATTGAAATTTATAAAAAAAGAGGAAATGCATATTTAGGTTTTTTTTTTATTTTCTTGATTTGCACTCTTAAGCTTCGTACTTCAATACTTTCTTACTGCCCTTTCCTTTCCTCCTTTGAACGTCTGCCGTCGGAATAATTTTAGTTATCGTATAGCTATAGTACATCAGTCTTTTGTTGTTTGATTCGCTTATAATGAAACCACATCGCTCTTTTATAAAAGTTGATAGATTAGGTTGTCGAGTAATTGCTGTTACACTTTTTATTTCAAATCTTAAAAATCTCAGAAGCTTTGGAAAGATTCATGTTCACGACATATGGGCAGGGTCAAAAGGCCTATCCATCGGTACCGTCGCATCCGCTATCCGTGCGCAAAACACTTACTTTGTGGCTGAAAATCCATTCTCAACAAATTTCCCATTTTTGTAAATGAGCTAGATTCTTTCGCATTATGAGGGAGAGACCAGGCAATGTATTCAAGTAGGGTATAGTCCCCAGCTTTTAGCAAATATGGAAGGATAACACAGGCCGTTTTTTTCTGAGCAGTCTAAATGTCAATGTGCGCCATCTTTGCAATCATCGAGATTCCGACGAAGAAAACGTCTCTAAAAAATTTCAAAAAATTATTCTTAAGTTTTCTATTAGGTTGTCCCATAAGTCTTTTCATATTCGGACCTTCAATTCGTTTTTTCTTAAGAACTACAGCACCTAACAGGCTGCAAATTTTTAATAGTAATTTTGAGTGAATAAGCTATATAATCAACCATTTGCGGGGTACACAGAAGTGATACAGGCAAAGTTTGAAAATTGAGCGCATTATTTTTTTCTTGGTTTCTAGCCATGAGAAAAATGCAGCAAGCGCATGTATAGATATCCGATGAGGAGAGTATATGCATGAAAAAGTGGGAAATTTGCAGAGCTGTTTTGAACTGAGATATGATGATTTCCGTTTTTTCGGAAATTCGGAAATTTTTTTATTTTGGCAGGATTGAGATGTTGATTGAGCTTGGTGCGAACTTTTGAACGCCATCTTGCAGAGCTTACTTTGATCTGTCGAACGGTACCCTGCATTTTATCAGGAGTTCAAGAAGAACTGATTTATGTCGCTGAAAATTCGGGTATGAAAAGACTTATGGGACAACCTAATATATTCATTTCTACGCTATGCACATAAGGAATTTAGGAAAGTTTTTGAATTTCTTTTGATGTTTTTGACCACTGGTTGTTAAAACGCTGAAGGACCGAAATTTATGTAAGAGACAGTGCCAAAATACATTCTAAAAAAATTCTAAGAAAGGCACTAGTAGATGCAAAGAATGAGTCAAACAAAATTTGGAAATTTGAGTATTTTACAGAACTGCTATAAACATGTTAATTAGTGCACTTGCGGCATCAGTCATGTTAGTGGGTAGACCCTGTTATGTCCTAAGCGTGTCGTAAATATGGGGTTTTCAGAAAGCTTCTGGAATTTCCCAGAAATTTTAGAAAAAAGTGTAACAGAATGCATACTGGCATCAAAAGAATTCCTTAATCGGGAGTGCAGCTGTGAAGATCCGGTCCAACAAAGTCTGTTCCTCTCATTTGCAGTGCTTGATGTCATTTTTATACGAAAGTTTAGTGGTTAGAATATTATCATTGTTTGAAGGTTTGAATTTTACACAAGATCCAAAACTTACATTTTCTGGAGAAAGCGATAAGAAAGAGTATAAAAAGCTGAAGTGTGAAGCTGTTTTCTAGTTGATGTAAGGTTATCCACTCTAGCACAACCATCGCGGTTTCAGCAAATCGAAACGGTGTAACTTTTTTATGAGGAAAAAATGAAATGTAGTCACAATCTCAGACAATTCATCATGCTTTGGAAGAGCGTGGGAGAAAGAGGCTTGCTAACAAAAGCCAATAAACTGGCTTTTGTTTTCTTGCCTGCAATTGTCGTATCGAGTGCTTCATTGGCACCATAGCAGCTGGGAATATTCTGTAAAAGAACCAAAGAGAACAGCAGTTGGCATCTCAGTGAGTATAAGTCAAAGTCAGCCCTTCGCGTACTTTGTGGTCCCTGAAAAGAGGTTGCAGAGTTTCTTGCTTCTAAACAGGTAGCAGATACCCTACCATGCCCGAATGACGAACTTTTTCATAAAACGCAACTTGAAACTCCGCCCATTTATGCGGTTGGCCATGTACTAAAGTGCTGCTTTTGGTGCCAAAAACACTGGGGGCGGGGCATCCAGTTTAGGCCCAAAATTTGAAATTGCCACCCACACCGCTTGTTTAGAAGCGAATGCACAGGGTGGCCGGTATGCGTAGGCGTTACAACATCTAACATGTCTTTTTCCTGAAATACACTATCAGAACGGCTAATATGCCTGTAGCTCACGGACATCCTCTATATTGATATATATATATATATGTATATGTATTTATATGAATATTGCGCGCGTCTTCTGATGCAAGCGGGACTCCGGACTGCTTCCACTTGAAAGGCAACGGTGCGATCAGTTAGCACCATGTTTACAGCGTTGTGACAGTGTTCACCGTATTTTATTAGAGTGATGGAAAGTAATGAGACATCTAAAGAATAAATTAGTTCCTTGGACAGAAAAATCTGTTAGTTGTTTAAGTTTTGGAAGATGTTAGTACATATCAAAATCTTCTGATCGAGGTTTATAGATAGGCACTGTCGCATGGCGTCGTGTTTATAATGCCCAAATCTAAGCTCGTCACTTCAAGTAATTTCGAACTTGGAGCAGCAACCAGGGCTCGGCACGAGGTGGCTAGATGAAAATGGAAAAAACGAAGTCCCCCTTGACTTTTGGGAATTTTTACGAAGTCCCCTTTGAGCCTCAACCAAATTTCCTCTAAAAACCTGAAAAATTCCCCAAAAACGAAACGTCGACTAAAAAAAGGTCGTCGTCGCCAATCTTCCGTGTCTCTTCGGTCACAAAAACGAAACCCCCTTTGCTTTTCGTCCCAAAACGATATCCAGCTTGCTTGTAAGCCACCTCGTCCCGAGCCCTGGCAGCAACGCCGCAATAAAACAAGTGAGGCTGCGAAAAATATATGTGCTGCAATGGGTTAGGGGACTGTCAGTAAATGTCATCTGGTAGAGCTGTACGATAGACTGATGGTCCCATGGCTTGCAACAGAAGATATAGCATTAATACGGTGACATATTATTTATTCTCTCATCGAGGTGATCGAATGGGCTCACCTTCGACAAATGGCATCTGGTAGAGCTGTTTACGCTCTATCCATACGTATGCAATTTACCTCGCGAAAACCTCGCTTTTTGAAAATTTGTGGGCCAAACATCAAAAAGTTTTCTAACTTGAACATCTGCGTCAAATATTGCATTTTTACGAATAATCTGCCTCTTTGGTACAAAATGATGAAGAATTTCTGCAGGTTCAAGCAATCATTAAAAAGAGCTTGGAAAGCAGTTTCGAATGATATGTCATATGCCCAGGGACTTTTCCAGGTATTGCAGTAAAATTCGGATGGCGTTCAAAAAAAGTCTGTCTGCGTTTTTTGAAGTGCCGCACGAAGAATTGTAGGATATGAGCTGCAAGCTGCACGAGGATAACATGCGAAGATCACTTTATACAAATGTATCTTTTCTGCGGGTTGTTTATTATTTATCAGAAAAAAAATCATCGAAATTGCAAAAAAAATCGAAGTGTCCCATTGCTTCGCGATCACCCTAATATTTTAGAGATCAGAAGTTACTGCTGTTACCACAATGCGTTAATCCTTAGACTGTGCTCTACAAAACTTCATACGTTGGAAATTATTTGATTCGTTATCGGATTATAGCCCCGGGTTTGCAGCGGGTGCATTTTTCACACCGCATTTTTTGTGGCATTAGTTTCAAGATAAGGTGGTGAAATTTGTATACATGTGCAGAAGCCCAGCTTCGTATGATAACACATTAGGACATAGGTTTTTGAGATGCAAAAATGATCTTACACCTATATTTGAAAAAAGGGCAAATTTTAGTCAGTTCTTTCATTATATAAGGACTGCTGCGCGTGGTGGATGCGGCTTATCAGAACCCTCTCGCCTTTTAAAAAGCTTGAAATGCAAAAGTTCATGAACGCATAGAGTCTATCGTTTTCAATAATGGCCATGGATAATGCCGTCGTTACTCATCGACGCTTTCCTTCTCCGCGTCACCCTTTTCTCTCCTGCTCTCACTCACACCGAAGCCCACAAACAAGTACATTTTCTTGCCCTTCTGGCACCGCTGTCGCTGCTGCTGTCTGTGTGCCTTCAAGGGCCAAACACACACACACACACATCACGGCGCTCATATCCCATGTCGTCTCGAACGTTTGTCTGGGAAGTTTGGGAGTTTATTCAGCAAATAATCAAGTCTTTGAAATCTCTATCGAAGGTGAGTTATGGCTAACGAGGTAAGGGTACTTGGTGACCGTAGCCTTTTGCAATAAGATGTATACCAGTAGGTGCGTCTTGGAAAGCTGATTCTAAATCTATGTTCATTATCTGCTGTGCGACTCCCTGAATGAAGTTATGGACTTTTTTCCATATTGATTTTGCGAGATTTAGGCAATCAAAATTGTCAGTATCCAGGCTTTGTAGAATCTGATGTATCGGAGACAGTTTTCTTTAGCTTAACGTAAAACTTTACTTTATTTGGACGCTCTTTTATAGTGCGTAAGCGAACTTCCTAATATTGGTGACCTGTATCAAAAACAGTGCAAATTTTGTTAGAAAGAAATGCTCATAAATTCTTTCGGAAGAGTGCACAGCAGATACCGAAAGCAAATTTGGAATTAGTGCTTCAAGATGCATTTAATGGTGGACGTTTCATTTCAAAAAGCCACGGTCACCAAGTATCCTTTCCTTGTAAGATAAATAAACACCGTCTATGACAGTAAGT